ACACAGGAATATGCAGGTGAAAGAAAAGATGAAGTCTTGCAGTTTACTGCAACTTGGATGGAATTATAGGATAACATGTTAAGCAAAATAATCAGAGGGGGGACAAATACCAGAGTTTTTAATAATATGTGGCATATAGAGAAAGAAAACAAGGGAATAGGCAATACAAATGGTTAAATCCTTACCAAGCACTGGGGGGAGAGGGTTGTGGGAAGAAAGACTGGACAAAAAGTAACTTGGTGGTGGAGGGTGGAGGGTACTTTGGTGATGGTCATGTGCAATAACTTTGTGCATCAAAACTGTAAATGTTAGCCCTGAGACTGGAGTGATAGTAGAGTGGGTTGAACATTTGCCTGGTATGCAGCCAACCCGATTTCAATCCCTGGCATCCCGTATGGTCCCCTGAGCACCACCAGGAGTGAATCTTGAGCACAGAGCCAGGAATAACCCTCAAGCATTTGTTTTGTGGCACAAAAACAAAAAAAGATAAATCCATAAACCTTATTTTTTAAAAAGAGAAAAAAAAGCAATTATAAAAGGGAAATACAAACCTGGAGAGCCTGAGAATACTCAAGATTCTTAGCTGGCATGACAGTTTTTTTTTTTAAGTTAATTCTGTTACTGTCATATTAACTAAACTACAATAAATATTAAAATAAGCTTTTAAAGAATATGTGGTTTGGTCACTGTTTCTTTTGAGGTGCAGAATCCTACAGAATGGGAAAGGATATTTGCCAAGTACACATCCGATAAGGGGTTAATATCAGGATATACAAAGTACTGGTTGAACTCCACAAAAAGAAAACATCCAACCCCATCAAAAAATGGTGCAATGAAATGAACAGAAACTTTCTCAAAGAAGAAATCCGAATGGGTAAAAGGCACATGAGAAAATGCTCCACATCATTAATCATCAGGGAGATGCAGATCAAAACCACAATGAGATATCACTTCACACCACAGAGACTGCCCCATATCCACAAGAACAAAAGCAACCGATGCTGGCGCGGATGTGGCGAGAAAGAGACACTCCTTCACTGTTGGTGGGAATGCTGACTGGTTCAGCCCTCTTGGAAAACAGTGTGGATGATTCTCAAAAAATTAGAAATTGAGCTCCCATTTGATCCAGCAATACCACTCCTGGGAATATATCCCAGAGAGGCAAAAAAGTATAGTCGAAGTGACATCTGCTATTGTTTGTTCATTGCAGCACTCTTTACAATAGCCAGAATCTGGAAAAAACCTGAGTGCCTGAGAACAGATGACTGGTTAAAGAAACTTTGGTACATTTACACAATGGAGTACTATGTAGCTGTGAGAAAAGACGAAGTCACGAAATTTACATACAAGTGGTACTACATGGAAAGTATCCTGTTAAGCGAAATGACTCAGAAAGAAAGGGATAGACATAGAAAGATTGCATTCATCTGGGGAACATAAAGTAACAAAATAGGAGACTAACACCCAAGAATGGCCGAGATTAGTACCAGGAATTTTACTCCATGGCTTGGAGGCCAGCCACACATGCTAGGGGAAAAGGCAGCTCAGATAGAGAAGGGAAAACCAAATAAAGGTTTTGGGAGGATCCTCCCAGGATGGGAAAAGCATGCTGAAAGTAGACTATAGACAAAACATGATTGTCACCCATTGCCTCTTTTGCAAACCACAACACCCAATAAGAGAGAGAGAACAAAAGGGAATGCCCTACCACAGAGGCAGGGGGGATGGGGGTGGGAGGGATACTGGGATCCGTGGTGTTGGGAAATGGGCACTGGTGGAGGGATGGGTATTTGATCATTGTATAATTGAAACCCAAGCACAAAAGTGTGTAAGTCTGCAACTGTACCTCATGATGTTCTCACTATTAAAAATTTTTAAAAAAAAAGAATATGTGGTTTTGGGGCTGAAGCCATGCACAGTGGATAGGGCATTTGCTTTGCACACAGCCGACCCAGGTTCAATTCCCAGCATCCCATATGGTCCCCCGAGCACTGCCAGGAGTAATTCCTTAGTGCAGAGCCAGGAGTAACCCCTATGCATCACCATGTGTGACCCCCCCCCCAAAATGTGTTTTCTTCTCCATGTTTGTGAACTTTATTGTTTTTTAGTTTTTCTTCTGATATTGATTTGTAGGTTGTTGGGTTTTTTTTCCATTATGATGAAAAGATATTTTGTAAGATTAGTCTTTCAAACTTATGAAGACTTGTATTGTCACCTAACACCTGATCTATCCTGAAGATGTGCACTTGAGAAAAATGTGTGCTCTCCTATAGCTCGGCAGAGGGTCCTGTGTGTTTTTTATTTAGAACTGTCTGACCACTTTACGGTGTCCTTCAACCCCCCTGTTTCCTTACTAACCTCCCTCTGGTTGTTCTGTTCCTTACTATATCAAAGTCTTCAGTTATTGTACATATCTACTTGTCTTTAGTTTTTTTAGTCAGTGCTTAATATATTTATGAGGTGTAATGTTTAGTACATAGATATTTATAGTTGTTATGTCATCTTTTTAATTGATCCATTGTCACTGTCACTGTCCTCCCGTTGTTCATCGATTTGCTCGAGCGGGCCCAGTAACATTTCCACTTTGAGACTTGTTGTTACTGTGTTTGGCATATTGAATACATCACGGGGAACTTGCCAGGCTCTGCCCTGCGGGCGAGATACTCTCAGTAGCTTGCCGGGCTCTCCGAGAGGGGCGGAGGAATCGAACTCGGGTCGGCCATGTTGGCTGCGTGCAAGGCAAACGCCTTACCCGCTGTGCTATCGCTCCAGCCCAATTGATCCATTATTATATAATATCTTTTTTTCTTAACATATTTTTGTTCAATATTTATTTTTTCTGATGTTAATATAGGAATACATTTATCTATTCTTTTGTTTTCAACATGAGTGCCTTAACTCGAAAGTAAATCGTTTTCAGATATAAAGTAATTGGATCCTGCTTGTTTTTTGGTGGGGGGGAATTTGCGACAAACCTAGCGGTACTCAGGCTTTCTCCTGACTCTGCACTCAAGGATCACTCATGGAGTGCTGGGATTGACCCAGGTCGGCCATGTACAAGGCTAGTGCCTTATTCACTGTACTATCATTCTCATCTCTGTGTCCAGCTTTTTAAGCCATTCATTCTCTCAATGTGTCTTCTGACTGGGGAATTGCATCCATTTACATTTAAAGGGAGTAGCTAGTGAAAGGCTTTCTCTTGTTTATTTCTCTTGTTTTCTCATATTGTTTTCTATGTGTCTAATAACTTTTTGTCCCTCATTTCTTCCTTTACTACATTCCATTATGGGCTGGAGCGATAGCACAGTGGTAGGGCGTTTGCCTTGCACGCAGCCAACATGGCTGACCCGAGTTCGATTCTTCCGCCCCTCTCGGAGAGCCCGGCAAGCTACCGAGAGGATCTTGCCCGCACGGCAGAGCCTGACAAGCTCCCCGTGACGTATTCGATATGCCAAACACAGTAACAACAAAGTCTCCAATGGAGACGTTTCTGGGCCCGCTCGAGCAAATCGACAAACAACGGGAGGGCCTTTACCTTTTTTACCTTTTACTACTTTCCATTGAGTTAAGTTGACCTTTTTCCTTTCTTTACTGCTTTCCATTGTTTACTTGTTTACTTGATTTATTTTCCTTTGGCAACACACTTTGATTCCAGTTTCATTTTCTATTGTATATATCTTGTTTTATTTTTGTAGCATTTTTCTTTGGAGTACAAGCAATATCCTAAATTAATAGCAATGTAATTAAACTGGTGCTAACGTCAATGTTGAATTTTGTGTCTTTTGAGCCTTCACCGGGTCCCAGCCACTTTATTCACTGTATCACTGTCATCCCGTTGTTCATCGATTTACTCGAGCAGGCACCAGTAATGTCTCCATTCGTCCCTGTCACGTGCTAGTGTAGCCTGATGGCATACTGGGGGCTCTTTCAGGGTCAGGGGAATGAGGACCATCATTGTTACTGTTTTTGGCATATTGAGTATGCCACGGGTAGCTTGCCAGGCTCTTTTGAGCCACTATATTAGCAGACCATATTCACCACATTTTTTATCTTTCTAGCAATCGTCCAAAATGTAGGTAACTATCTGCCCTTTACAAATTAGGAGAAAGAACTGCAAAGAGAATAGTTGACCCACAATCACAAAGCTAAGAAAGAAAGTCAGAACACTGTGCCTTTCTGCCACCCCTCCTGGTCTCAGCACCATGAGCAATGTGAACTCCCATCTCCTCTGCATTCAGCACGTCAGATGTGGTGGCCACATCGCTTTGTGAAAACTTGTAGCTGGTTAGTTTCTGTGTTTCCAGAACAGTTAGAAATTGATGGCTTTTTAAAAAAATTTAACAGTTAATGTGAGTATACATGCTAAAATGGAATTACAGGAATGTGAACAAAGAGTTCAGACTTGAAAATATACCCATAGGGAGAAGGCAGCTGGCATAGAAAAGGGATGACTAAGTCAATGATGGTTGGGGGGAATTGCTCGGGATGGGAGGACATGTACTGAAAGTAGATGGCCTCTATTATCTGTATTGCAAACCATAATGCCTTAAGTAGAGAGAGAGTACGAGTAAATCGTCTGCCATAGAGGCAGAGGGAGGGGTGAGGTGAGGGAGAGATACTGGGGACATTGGTGGTGGAAAATGTACACTGGTGGAGGAATGGGTGTTCGATCATTGTATGACTGAAACTCAAACATGGAAGCTTTGTAACTGTAGCTCACGGTGATTAATTTTTTTAAAAAATTAAACATTAAAAAAATTTTAAAGCCTAACTATTTAAAAAAAAAAAGAAGAAAATATACCCATAAAATTATATTATCTGAACTCAAGATCAGATAATGTGACCAACTTGGAATGGAAATTTACCTTAATGTTGTTAAACATTTTATTCCAATTAGCAGAACAAAAGCTTGAACCATTTATTAAAATCATAAGTGTGCATTTTTTAAACATAGTTTGTATTGCAGAGGTAATAATCAGTAATTTTTTCTTCTTTAATAGTCTGCTGCCAGAAACATTAATTGGAAATATGTGCTCCATTCATTTGCTCATATTCTATCGCCAAATTCTTGGAGATGTACTACTGAAAGAAAGGATGAGCATGCAGAATGCTGGTAAGGTCCTTGCAGTTGCCGATGTACAGTGACGCTTCGCTGTTTGCATTAAGTGTAGCCCACGGCAAACTATATCCTCTGAGGTTAAGTTGGGAATAAGATATTAAGCAAAGTAGCAATGGCAGTAATGACTTTAGATTAAAAGCGTTGTGTTGCATATCTATCCTGTGAGAATTCAGCTTCTATTTCGTTTGTACAATATACATATATTCATATTTTTAATTTCTGGAAACTTGCATCTTAACACTCACATACGAAGTTTCCTAATGTTTCTGAAAAGTCTAGTCTTTTTTCCATATGCTTAGTGTACATATCACTTTATCAGGAGGAGACCAAAATCATCCAAAATAACAGGTTCCTAATAGCCAAAGTTTGAATATCAATGGATTAGTTGAAAGTTCTAATTTAGATATGGGGTGCTCAGTATTTCTATATGATATTATTATTTTCGCAAGCTTTTGTAGGCTTGAATATTTTGTCCATTTGTTGACCAGGCTCTGTGTTGCTCAGAGTCTACTCCCAGCTCCTTGCAAGGTGCTGGGGACTGAACCTGTGCATCTTGCAGGTAAAGCATACACTCAGCCCACTGAGCTCTCCCTCCAACCCAGGAAGCTTGATATCTTTTTCAAGTAAAAATTTTAAAATCAGGAAGTGAATGCATAGCTAAAATTGCAGGGAGGTCTATGTTCTTGGAATTAAATTCCCAAAAGTTGTGATTGGGAGGGGTACATTTTTAAAAAATTCATTGTTATGAGTGCTTGCCAGGACTGTGCTAGACCTACGGATGAAGGGATAAGCCTAGTCATCTCCTAGAGAAGCAACCAGCCTCAAAGTAACATGGACAGTTCTTTTCAAGTTCTGAAATAATGTCAGCTGAAGGAAGACACAACAGGAACATACAATGGGAAGAACTAAATTTATGTGTAGAGTATGAAGGAAGAATTCTCTGCCTATTTGTATTATTTATGGTAAGACCTCAAGAGGAGTTACAGAGGGAGGAGGACCCTTCCTGAATGCAGGGATGTGTTTGTCTTAAGTCCAAAGGCAAGAAAACATGGCTGTGTTGGAGGGACTGATGTTGAAAGCAATCCATCAAGTCAGGAGCCTCATGAGATAGAGGAAGAGTTCAGTGATTAGAAAGAAATCTCCTCCAAGGATTTGCCACTTGGATAGGCCAATGGAAAGGGACCTCAAAATCTGGAACACAGACATTTTTCAAGAAGTAATTATAACTCTAAAGGAAAGGCAAGCCTTTAAGAGTCATTTATGTTTTAAATTGCTTTCAATGACTTGAAATACTTTATAAATGACATAATGTCTTAAAGAATGAAAAGCTTATTCATTTTCCTATAGATAAGAAGCTTACTCAGAACTTTTGGCTTCATCTGCACCTGGCCATCATGATAAACCCAATAAGGTCTAGAGAAAGGATTTCCCCCCCACTCTGCTAGGGAATGAGATTATAGAACCTACCTCTCTCACCATTTCAAAAGTGCCCATCTGGGGTCTGGAATCAGGCCTGAGCAGGGTTGTGAAAAAGACCTGGTGATCAGAACAAAAGTTTCTAGTCTTATTCTCTGTTCAGAACCCCTTTCCTCCCACCCTGAGCACTCTATCTCTTGGTACAGACTCGTTTCAGAATCTCCGGGGAGTATCGACTTAGGGGCAGAGGGGACGTTGAGGGGACAGCTCTGACCTCTCTTAGAGGCTACAGTGGATAGAATGCATTGTCAATAAATCATGTAGCACAATCATATTAATTATGCATAAGTTATTCTATGCCTACTGGCATGAAATGTTTTGGTTAAAGTCTGCATAAAGTTCTTCGTGTTCTTCTGTATTTCAGATCTAATCAGTAATCCTGTGTTAGCCACCTTCCCTAAGCTCCTGGAGCAGCCTGACATCATGGACGCGCTCAGGGTAGGTAGTGTGCACCAGGGTGGGAGGCTTGTGGGCTCAGAAGTGGTAAAACTAGCACAGGAGTCACATCTGCTCACACTGCTTTCTGGGAGGGTTGTCGCCTTCTTCAGATGATGTTTCCCAGTCTGTATTTATTGTCTAGCTAATTTGGTCTTACCTTTCCCTTCCTAATTAGCAGCACATATAGTTCCCCAAGCACTGCTAGGAGTGATCCCTGAGTACAGACCCAGAATTAAGCCCTGAGCACTACCAAAGGGGTGGGCCCCTCCCCTTATCCTCTTCCCCGCAAAAATAAAAGGAAGAAGACAGGTTATACTTATATCTTAACTATACTTAATGTAGTATGGTGGTCTTAGCCAGAGCAATTGAAAAATAAGCTAGATTAGGGATCCAAGTTAGGAAAGAAGTGAATATTACTCATAGATGATAAAATGGTAACAGAGAGAGGAACCTAAAGACTCCACTGAAAAGCTATGAGAAAGAATTGAATACAGAAGAGTGGCTGCTTACAAAGTTAGTCTACAAGAATCGATCGCATTTCTATGTGCACATTTTAAATGAAGGGAATGTTTAGAAAACAATCCCATTTGTAATTGTTCTAACAGATTAATATTTAGGAATAAATTTGGCAAAGAAGGTGAATGACCTGTGTAATGACAATTGTAGAGCGCTGTCAAAAAGCCATGAGAAAAGATGGAATTTTGCAGTTTGCTGCCAATTGGAAGGAATTTCAGAGTCTCATGTGAAGCAAAGTGAGTCAGAAACAAAGTAAAAGATAAATATATGCTGAGCTCCCTCTTAGGTGGAGAATAAAGAATGAATGTAAGGGATGAGACAGCATTTCTCAGCCAGGGACATCCGGCCCCTGGAGAGCCAGGGTACTCCAAGGGGGCACAGGTACATAGGAACCCCGGCAGGAGACCAGGATCCAGCTGGTAGGTCAGGGAGCTGCAGGACAGAAACAAGGTCAGAAGGGGACACAGTGGGGAGATGTGTGAGCAAAACTGGACTAGACAATCCCCAAGAAACTCCAAGACAGAGAATCTGGAACTAAGAGATCTAAAAGATCTGAGGAGGTAAAAGGGGAAGGGACCGTAGAGCACTGGGGGAGGGATCAGTGTGAGGTTCTGCAGGTATAAAAAGTGACTTCAAAAGTATTGTAAACTGTGATAGGTGGAAGTGATCACTCTGGACAAAAACTGTGCCCTGAAAATAGGTAAAGGGATATACATGATGACCTTTCACTATGGTATTGCAAACCATAGTGCCCAAAAGGTAGGAAACTTGGGTGAATGGGGGTGAGGGGAAGAGAGAGAGAGAAAGAGAGAGAGAGAGAAGAAAAGTATCTGCCCTAGAGGCAGGCTGTGGAGTGGAGGCAGTGGCAGGAGGGAAACTGGAGATGTAGTAGTGGGAAATATACACTGGTGAAGGGATGGATGTTGGAACATTGTATGACTGAAACCCAGTAGTGAACAACTTCGTAATTGTGTATCTCACCGTGATTCAATTTTTAAAAAATGTCTTATAAACTATGAGACCTCAATTTAAAATAAAAATTAAGAACTAAAAAAGACAAAAAAATATTTTAATGTGTTTATGAAACTACTTATAGACAGATTTTTAAATCTTGGGAGCTGGAGTGATAGTTCAGCGAGTAGGGCCTTGCTCACGGCCTACCCAGGCTCAATTCCTAGCATCCCGTATGGTCCTCTGAAAACCGCCAGGAGTAATTCCTGAGTGCAGAGCCAGGCATAACCTCTGAGTATTGTTGGGTGCGACCCCAAGAGCCAAAATGCCAAATAAATAAATAAACAAAAACAAAATATTTACTTGCAAAGCTATACTTCAATTTATCATATATTAACGGTCGGTATCTTTGTTGATATTTGTCAGTTTTCTGTTTGCATTCTATCCTTCCTTACACTTAGGTGGTAGTTTCTTATTCAGGCACTGTGTTTCTCCTGGCTGTACTCAGATCACTGGGCCCGACAGTTCAGTTCTAGGGACTGGCAATGTGACAGTGCTTGGGCCAGCAGTGTGGGAGCCATCGGCCCCCCCTTGCAGTGCTCAGAAACCTCCAGAGCTATGCCCAGCTGTGCTCAGGACGCCACGTGGTGCCAGAGAATGAATTCCAGGCTATGCGTGTCAAGCCATGCTCCTCTCATGCCTCTGTCTCTCACAGTCCATGTGACACAATCTGGGCTCTCCTGAGCAGTGCTGAGCAGGCCTGGGGACCACTTCTGGGGACACGCCACCAACCGGACCCGAGGGTCAAAGGCTGGGGCCTGCCACTGTGGTCTTCTTAGGCCATACAGTGTTTTGTTGATTTTATTGTGATTTGGGTTTTTTGTTTGTTTGTTTGGGTTTGGTTTGAGGACAACCCCCAGCAGTGCTCAGAGCTTACTCCTGGCTCTGTGCTCAGGAATCACTCCCAGCGAGGCTCTAAGGGATCATAGATGGTGCCAGGGATCATACACGGGTCAGCCATGTGCAAGGCAAGCATCCTACCTCTGGTCCCATGATTTTACTGTTAAATAAAATCTTTTTTTTTTTCATTAGTGAAACTCCATGAGGTACAGTTGTAGATTTACAATTTTTTGTGCTTGGGTTTCGATTATACAATGATCAAATACCCATCCCTCCACCAGTGCCCATTTTCCACCACCATGGATAATATCCCTCCCACCCCCATCCCTCCCATCCCACCCTGCCTCTGTGGCAGGGCGATCCCTTGTATTCTCTCTCTCCTTTTGGGTGTTGTGGTCTGCAAAAGAGGCTTTGAGTGGCAAACATGTTCAGTCCATAGTCTACTTTCAACATGCATCTCCCCTCCTGGGAGGATCCTCCAAACACCCTTTATTTGGTGCTCCCTTCTCTATCTGAGCTGCCCTTTCCCCTAGAATGCCCGGCTGGCCTCTAAGCTATGGAGTAATCCTCCTGGTGCTGATCTCAGCTATTCTTGGGTATTAATCTCATATTTTGTTACTTTATATCCCCCAGATGAATGCAATCTTTCTATGTCTATCCCTCTCTTTCTGACTCATTTCGCTTAGCATGATACTTTCCATGTTGTACCACTTGTATGTAAATTTCATGACTTCATCTTTTCTAACAGCTACATAGTACTCCATTGTGTAGATGTACCAAAGTTTCTTTAACCAGTCATCTGTTCTTGGGCATTCAGGTTTCTTCCAGTTTCTGGCTATTGTAAAGAGTGCTGCAATGAACAAACAAGTGCAGATGTCACTTCGACTACACATTTTTGCCTTTCTGGGGTATATTCCCAGGAGTGGAATTGCTGGGTCAAATGGGAGCTCAAGTCTTTTTAAGATTCTTCTTAAAATTCTTCTGGGTGTCTTTTTTCTTTTTAAAGCTTTTTTTTAAAAAAAAGATTAATTACCATAAGATACACAGTTTGAAATTGTTCAGGATTGGGTTTTCCTGCCACCAATGTTCCCAGTTTCCTTTCTGCCCACACCTTGCCTCCTCGCCCCGCTTCCTACCGCTACTGCTCTATTGTAGATACTTTTCTTCTCTGTCTTTCTGTCTGTCTGTCTGTCTGTCTGTCTGTCTCTCTCTCTCTCTCTCCCTCTCCCTCTCCCTCTCCCTCTCTCACTCTCACTCACACACTTGTGCTCTCACGCTGGCTCTTATTTTTCATTTAGGCATTCTGGTTTTCAGTATTGGGTTTTCACTGATAACAACCCACACATTGAGTCTGGTTCTGGCCCTAGCATTCATACCTATTCTCTTCTTTCATATAGCTTCTTACAGTGCTTAAATCTGGTCCCTAAGTGTAACAACAGTAAACTTATGGAAGTGTGGATAGAAACTTAGGGACGTTGAGAATAATTTACTATTTCTCTTTGTTTTATAGAGCTCGTGGGCAGAGAAGGAAATCACACTGAAACGGTCAGAGAAGGTAAAACGACTTGCCACACTGAGCTTCTTTACTGCCGAGCATTTTCTGGTGCTTCTGATATCCCCCTGTCAGCTGGTGCAGCCAGTCCTAATCCCATCCACAATGACGAAGTATCACTGTGCTTGATGTCCACATGCCTAGCTGGGGGTGTGTGTTCATTTCTTACTGTGAGAGAGAATCTTGGGACAGGAGAGAGAGTGCAGTGGGGAGGGTACTTGCCTTGTTCGCAGCCGACCCAGCACAACATAAGGTCCCCGAGCCTTGCCAGGAGTGATCCTTGAGCACAGTGAGAACTAAGTCCCCAAAATCGTTGTGTGTAACCTCCCAACACCCTCCCCCCAAAAAATGAGAGGTGGGGGCAGGGCAAGGAACCAGGCTCATTTCATTCGCTGTTTTATTTTATTGAGGGAACTTTTTTTCTTTTTCTTTTTTTGCTGTTTTTGGGTCACACCCGGTGATGCACAGGAATTACTCCGGTTCATGCACTCAGGAATTACTCCTAGCAGTGCTCGGGGGACCATATGGGATGCTGGGAATCGAACCTAGGCCAGCTGCGTGCAAGGCAAACGCCATACCCGCTGTGCTATTGTTCCAGCCCCTGAGGGAACTTTCTAATCCAAAGTCTTCTGCTTAACTAACAAAAGTCCCATATTAAAAAAATTTTTCCTTTAGCTCTCAAAGGGCATATTAAGTTAAAGAAGGGAAGTTGGCTGATTTGTAGGCTCAAAAGTTTGGGGTCACACTCAGATTCCCATGGAAGCCTGACCAGACAGAGCTTTGCCCTTTTCAGTGAATTGTAGTTTGGTCTGCTCCAGTCCAGATGGGGGGGTCTTTTTCCCGCTCAGGTTGTTTTCTGTCATGACCACGCAGCATGCTCGGCTGGCCAGTACGCACGCAGTGCGGCTACTTCTAGGTCTCTGTCTCCCACTGCCTTGCTGCTGACTCCCCCCGCAGCCTCGGGCTGGTGGCTCACTGAGAGGGTCCGCGCTGCACTTGGCCTGGTTCTCTGTGGCAGCCTGGCGGCGTCCTTGGGCGTCCTCCTCACTGGAGTTCCAAGGAACACCTGCTGCCCCTCTCGTCTGATTGCTCTCCGGGTGCTGCAGTCAGCTGTGTGCAGTGGAGTGGGCCTGGCTGACTGTGTATTGCACTTGAGGGCTGTTTACCTGGAGCCTCTATCCCCAGAATTAAACTCCCCACTTTGGGTCCCCTTGATGGAATGAGACACCCCACAGAGGAGCCTAAGAGATCCTCTGTTCGAAGGAGCCGTAGGATCCCACAGGAGAGCAGCTTGTCTAGTTCTCAGGGACTCGTGCATGTTTTTCCTTCCAGGTTGTGCTTTCCTGCCGCATCCCAGTTCCCAGCCTAGTGCTTATCAGATACGCGTGCTGCTCCCCCTGTACCCAGAGTTCCTAGCATTCACTGCTTTCAAAGCAGTGATGCAGGGCTGGGCCCAGGTTCAAGCATGGAGTCCAGGCCTTGCATATGAGGCCCTGAATCTGAGCCCAGCACCGCGGGCCTGGCGCCGCCTCCCACCACTCAGCACGGCCCTGGCCCCCAGGTGTCACTAGGAGAGATCTCTACACTTAAAAATAATAACAATTTTTTTTAAATCCCTCAACTCTGAGTCATACCTGGCCGTGCTCGGGGCTTATTCCTGACTCTGTGCTCAAGGATCACTCCTGGCAGGGCTTGGGGGGCCTTATGTGGTGCTGGGGATCAACCACCTGCTGTGCCATTTCTCTAGCCCCTCAGCTCTTTCCCGCAGCCCTGCTGCAGCTCCCTTGGTAATTCTTTGTGGTGGTGTGCTTTCCCAGAGAGACAAGGAGTTCCTGAAGGCAGCGTTTGTCCTGGTTTACCACGACTGTGTGCTCCCGCTTCTCCATTCCACACTCCTGCCCCCGTTCCGGTGGGCTGAGGAGGAGACTGAGGTGGCGCGCTGGAAAGTGATTGCTGACTTCCTCAAGCGAAATCAAGAAAACCAGGGTGCCCTCCAAGCTCTGCTGTCACCAGATGGGACCCATGAGCCCTTTGACATGTCCGAACAGACCTATGACTTCTTGGGCGAAATAAGAAAGAACATAGCCTAATGGAGGAGGCCTGCCAGGACCTGAGCCAAATGGCAGAGCTGCAGGTGACGTCACCCAGGATTAGGTCCAACTCCTCTTCGTGCGGATCACATTCTATAGAAAATTACAATTGTTCCACTATTTGAAGGCCATGGAACCCTAAAATAAAGTTTATAAGGAATACTTTATACCTAAACATAGAGACTTTTTTTTTCCAAAAAACAACACTAACAACTTTGATCAAGAAAGTAAATCCACAGTCCCCAGAATGGAAGATATTTACAACTCAAATCCAAGAAGTCTAGTACCCAGAATATATTAGCATGTGATTATTGATAATAAATTTTATGTTTGAAATGAAGGGAATATCAGAGTAACCTATTTGAAAAGGTTATTATTAATCTACTACTTGAAGTTTTTCCTAATTATCGCTTCTCGGCCTTTTGGCTAAGATCAAGTGAAGTTTTTCCTAATTATATATAAAAGAAAATGTTATTTTTCTCTTTAAAAATCTATGTAAGAGCTCATTCAAAAATAATAATAATGAGCAGACTTTCAGGGTTTGGGGCGTTGTCTTATCCCTATGTTGAAGGACAAAGGTTCTGTTATATTTCAAACTGTGACTTCTGGGAAGTGGTCTCAGGGCATCTGTATCATATTATTTTTATCAAAGAACATTGTTGATACAGTAGACATTGCAGCATGCCTGCTGGTGTGTGTGTGTGTGTGTGTGTGTGTGTGTGTGTGTGTGCTCAATTACTTGGATTACTCCTCACACCTACCATAGGAGGAGAATATCCTTATGTCCTCTATTACTGCTGAAGAAACGAGCCAGGCAGATAAGATTGCCTAAGCTTGCCACAGGTGGTGGTAGGGAGTGGGTGGCTAGGACAGAGAAGGGACCACTATGACAATGAGAGTTGGAAACGATCACTCTGAACAAGAATTGAGTGCTGAAAGGAGGTAAAGGGACAAACATGATTTCAGTACCTGTATTGCAGACCATAATGCCCAAAAGGGGAGGTGCGGGGGTGGGGGGGCAGATGGGAGAGAGGAAGGGAGGAAGAGAGAGAGAGAGAGAGAAAGAGAGAGAGAGAGAGAGAATGAGGCGGGAGAGGGGGGCAGGAGGGAAACCAGGGACATTATCCAGGGAAATGTATATGGGTGAAAGTACCAGTGATGGAGCATTGTATCATGTTCAACTTTGTAACTGCGTATCTCACAGTGATTCGATTAAAAAAATCTATATGAAAGATTGACCTAGTAAATGGCTCAGCACTTGCCTTGCACACAGCAATCCTGGTTCAATTCCACACACCCCCTGATGAGCACTGCTAAGAGTTAACCCTAAGCACAGAGCCAGGAGTTAGCCCTGAGCACTGCCAGGTGTAGTCTAAACACACCCAAAATGGAAAGAATTGCATGTTAAAATACAACATGAGAAGGCTCACTGAAGAAAAACATAATTTGAAAAGGACTTAACCTAGATTAGGGCTTCTGAAACTTTTTCCACTTGCAATCATATTTGCCCAAGAAGTTTTTATGGAACACAGATTTATAGGTACACAAATAGGTACACACTCAAACATATTCTGTAAACACAGAGAAATTAATTTTTAATTTATTTTGTGATTTGTGGGGGCACGCTCAGCAATGCTCAGGCTACTCTCAGCTCTCTGCTCAGACAGGGTCAACCCCAGCTGTGCTCAGTGGACCATGCAGTACTGGGAATGGAACCCAAACCTCCTTTGTGCAAAGCATGCACTCAGCCATAGATCCATCTCTGGTTCCAAGAAGTTAATTTCAGAACAATTTTGAAGAGTTTTTGCAAGCCTCACATCAGTTATATAACCCCAGATGCTTCACAGCCCACAGTTCAAGAAGCTAGAACCTAGACCTTCAGTACCAATTGAGGCTACCTCGGGGCGGGATGATGTTCATTATGTTGTGAAACTCCCGGACAACATCTTAGGTCCCCTCACTTAAACCTGGGCCTTCATGGCTAAGCGGGCACAATGAGGAGGGTTCCCAGCCACAGCGCCTTGAGAGAACTCCCAGAGTTCCGCCCTACATGTTGCCTACATGTTGCCCTCTGCTCTCGGCTGCTCCCAGAAGTAAATGTCCAACACCTCCACTGTGAGGAGGCCACCTGTTCCCAGGAGTGTCTCCCTTACTCTAGGATCAAAGCTCACCCAGTCACCCCACCTGACACAGTGAGAAAGGGTTTCAACCTTCCAGAACAGAGGTATGAGAATTCCATCACTTGTTGCATCCTTGTGGCCCCTGCAACGCCTTTTGAGGGGCATCAATCTGGCAACCATGAAGTCATTTTCCTGCAGAATCTTCCATTGCTAAGTTTCACCTTCCTAGTTTAAAAAAAAAAATTCAGCTTGTTAGCCCTATAAGCCAGGGGTGTGGCATTTTGAATGAAAGAAAATAATGTCGTGAATTCCTTTCCAAGGAAGGGGCAGAGTTTTCTTTCCAGTGTGTTTTCCCAGCTTTTGTTTCTATGTTCAGAAATGTGTCATCATTGACGAATGCCAACAGCTTTGCAGTTTCTGACCCAAGAGAAAAAAACGAAGAACACAGAGTAAACAGTTTGAGTAGCGCTGAAGTCAAAAAGGTGAGGTGACACAAGGCAGTTAGTCTCAGAGAAAGAGACAGCCGTTGCTGCGGAGAGGCTGTGGAGAAGCCACATCTCCCTTCAGTGGGACCTTTCCTTTAAACAATGGAACCTCGCTGGCTGTCAGAATGCTACTTTTTAGCTTCCAAAACAGGAAGAGGTTGTCAGGGAGCCAAAAGCATCCTGGAAATGAGTCCGGGGGCCAGCGTGGAGTGTGACTTGGCAATGCGCAGACTTGGCTGTGAGAATGAGGGTTGGGAGTAGGAGAGCAGCAGTGAGCGACCAGAGGCCTCCGCAGAGGGTCCTGGGAATCAATCAGGTGGGCCCCCCGACATCAGAGGTGGGCATGAGGCCAGGGCGGGCTCTCTATTGCACCCCTAGACCACAGGCCCGCCCTCATGGCTGAGTGCCCTGCCCAGCAGGTCTGCCACAGGTGAGGAATGCTTCCACTCCCCGTGCTCCTCCCTGTGTGTTATGAGATGGCAAAGGCAAAAGACGTGTGTTTCAGACCAGGTCCTGTCTCTGGTGGTGTTATGGTCTAATGCGTTAACACAGAACAACTCACAAGGAAGCAGTTAAAAACATAGTATCACCCACAAACTGAGCAGGTTCAACTTGCCAACCTGGTAGCATCTAGGCAGCCCATGAGTTTAACAAGGGAGGGAGCCCCCACCCGCCGGTGTCCATGTGTGCATGTCAGAGTACCCTGTGTGTGAACTGGCTTCACTTCCTTGCGTGAGGTTTCAGTGGGGAGGTTTCCTGGGGGTATAGAGTGATAGAACTAGGAATCATCTCATGGCTTGGTGCTGTTTGGAACTTCCCATCCATTCTTTCACTCAGGGAGCAGGTTCATTAAGCTTGTACTATACCCCAGGCTCAGAGGACACACTGGGGGGGTCACCCTGATACGTGCCCTGGGAGGTAGATGGCTGGTAGTCACGATGAAAGACCCATGACAAAGGTTGCAGGTGACCAGAGTATCTCTGGTTTTGTGTCTTAGTTGTCATTTCCTGGAAACCCCAGCACACTGAGGCCTAGGTGTGACCAACACTGTAACTGGCACGAAATAAGGGCGGGGCAGGTCTTCCTTCCTCCCTGAGCCTGCCCTCTCCCAGGTCCAGTCTCCGACACTTGGCTGTTATCACTCTCTGAAACTCAGGAGCACATCGGACCCACAACCTAGTATTGCTGGCTATCTGAACTCCCGGAGGTGGGACTGCAGTCAACAGATGGGTGGGGACAGGGAGGGACAGGCGGAGAGAGAGAATGGTCAGGAAGGGCCGTGCCACCTGAAACAGGAAGCTGAAGCTGGTGGGGCTCAGTGGCTCCAGGCTGGCTGACATGGGGCAAGGGCAGTCAGGTCTGTGAGCTGCAGTGTGAAACGAAACTATCCATGGAGGCGGTTTCCACCCTGGCATCCTTCTGCATGGCTTCTGTGTAGTCAGTTTCTGGAGGCAGACTGGACCTTCACCTGCTTGTTTGGGGCTGACTTTACTAGCAGCAATCAATCCGTGCAGAACTTTGTCCTTTCCAAGAGGCCACTTTAGGGGTATCATGATACGGAATCTGTGCTTTATGGGGCCTTCTCCAAGGCAGATATTCTGGAGGACCCAAATTGCGTCCATTGAGTCTTTCCTATTTCCTGGCAGTTAGCTGACCTTTGACCTTTAAGCATTCTGCCCATACCCCACAGTCACTGGAACTGGCTCTTGGCCACCTGAGTGTTAGGCTGTATTAACTTCCCAGGCCTGGGCCCTTGTCTGTGTGGGTTCCAGCTTTCCTGTGCGTGAGTTGATGTTCCTATGATTTGTACAGACAGTAGCTACAATCCAACCATCCGTACTAATGTCAGGGGTGAACTGGGTCATTGTCACAGTCATCTGCTGCTTTTGCTGCCCCACAACTTTATACTTTTCTCCCAAAGTTCCTCATTCTTATACCAATCCCAGTTCCAGGAGCAGGTTCTGATTTGGCTCAGGCTAATCAGTATGGTCTGGGGATGGTGTGGAAATGGGGAAATACTGGGAGATTTCTCTTCTGATTTAACTCTTCCTCCCTTGCTCATTGTGGTGGGAAATGTAAGGTGGGTGTGGGTGGCACTGCAATTCTTGGCACTTGCTTTCCAAAAGGGAGAGCTTAGAGCTGTGTGGCTGTGGGCATGAGCATAGCACAGAGAAATGGAGAACAACTTTAACTATAGTGATAGACTGGAGTGCCAGGGATCTACTCCTGGAGAACAGTGTTTTGGTCACTGGATCAAGCCTTACCTGAAGCCAACATTTTCTCTAAACTTCTCACATACCTGAAGTCAGAAGTCAGACCTTCCTTCCTTCAAAGACTGTTGCCATGGTTGCCATGGGAAGAATCCCAATGACTACAGTGGGCTGTCTCCCCCACCTCCAGTTATCCCCAAGCATCT